CATTTGAGAAGATAAGGATGGGCGCAGACGTTAAGGAGTCTTGGAGGGTTGAGAATGCTTAACCGTCTTCTACCGTCCATGTGGTAGTACGGTCTTTTTCCGTTACTCGGTTGAGAGGAAAGCGATATTCGCAAAACTGCATATAAACGGCGATAAAAGGAAGCCAACCCTAAAAAGGGCAGCACTTGTGGGAGTACTTAAAGGATATATTAAGGGAAGATGATAAATTTTCGATATTGAAACATTTCCGACTAAACAGTAAAGACAACTCAAATTCTCACAAGAGGAAACCCAGGCCGTTAAAACTGCTTTGAAGAGTAAACTTCAGAGAGATCTCCTGCTCAAGCGAATGGCAGGAGAAATCCCCGGCCGCAAGACCATTTTTCTTCTACAAGAGTACACGGTCAAGGAGAGGACGAAATGCAGGGCTTTAAGGCCGGACCTAGCCACCTTGAAAGAAGAAGGAGATAAGGGCTTGGAAATAAGGAATGGGGTAATTGTCCGACAACAAAGGCCCTTTCTGTGGAGGACGCCCGTCATCCTAACGAAAGTCACACGGCCGGGCAATTAACCCAACGTGAAAATCTCCACAAAATCAAGCTTTATTATGGAAATGTGCAAAGCCTCCTTAATAAACTTGACGAACTCAAAATACTTGTGGCTGAGCTACGTCCTGATGTTATTGCACTGACTAAAACGTGGCTAACCGAAGCTGTACAAGACTCTGAAATTCGATAAGAGTGTTATCACGTGCTAAGAAGTGACCGAACAATAAGAAGAGGCGATGGATTTGTCCTGTATATCAGCAGTGCAGTTGACTTTATCCTCACAGAAGAAGGTGCAAATGAACATGACCTGGAGATGCTGCAGTGTTATTTATTGGTACCCAAAGCTGAAAATATTAATGTCACCTTTGTATACAGGCCTCCAAATCAACATGCGGACAAAAATCAGCTGTTAGTCACCCAACTCCGCGAGGAGTGTCGGATACAAGGGGTTTTGACGGCACCGAAGATGTGCTTTACAAATAAGCCTTATAATTATTATTATTATTATTA